GTCACCCTTCCACGTCCCATCGACTCACTCGACGCTGCTGACTAAGTAGACGGCGCGAACTACATTGCATGGACTTCCTCATTACATAAAATGAATTGCGGATACTTCAAAATAAAATTATCCGAAAAATATCTTGACAGATTGGGCCGAAGAAGGTGAACCACTAAGGATGCTACATAACGAGGATAGGTAGTATTGTTACGATAAGAAAATAATACAAAAGGGTAAAATGGGATAGACATGTACATGTCCTCTTTGGGATTGAGAAACCAGAAATTTATAAAGAATGCTTGCAGGGGAACTTCCTAAAAAGTGGTCATTTTGAGAATTGAGGAGATAGGAAGATGATATTAAAATGGATATTTAGAAATAAATTACGAGGATCGGAGATGAATGTAATTGGTTCAGGATAAGGTCCAATGGCTGGATTTGACAATAGAGGATTGTAGTTTTATTTTATACTATAAGAGTCTCAGCCTAATTTTAGGAATCCATATACAGAAAAAGAACAACAACACTTCTGGGCAGTCGTAATTGTGACCATATATAAAGTAATGAATTTTAATCGAAATTATTAAAGCAGATTAAGTAAAGGCATGATACTTTATCTACACTGGATGACTAATCAGGCCAATGCAGAATCCGTCAGTGCTGGACAGGACAGGAAAAACCAGACGAACATCTGTGCCAAAATTGAAATGCCAAGTATCACACCCACACACAGCAGGAGCCTTCACTGCTCCACAGTTCCTTCTTTAGTAATGATACAAAACTGTCACCTACGCCTTCCACGTGTATCTAGGTAGTATCTTCTCCGTATTTGTATCCACTCCGCAGACCTCGTGAAAGTACCGTATTTACGCATGTATAGGCCGCACATTTTTTGCCAAAAATTCAAGAGGAAAACTGGGTTGCGGCTTATATTCGAAATATTCGAAATCATACTTCATTTAAAAAAATTATATTCATAATTAGTAATACAGGGTGTTCTACTCCTGAAATAATATTCCAAGAAAATTATTTTTTCCATAATTTCTGTCTGAAAATTGTGCTGCGACCTATACACGCACGCGGCCTATACATGCGTAAATACGGTAAGTGAAGCCTGTAAGGAATGTGTTTAGTCCACCCGTCTCGCTTATGTGAAAGAGAAGTTGCCGCATGAGCACGGCGCTAGCAAGAACATGAAACGTAATGATATGATCATCTGCGGCGTGAAGCCGTTCAGTCAGGTATAGGTGTGCTAACGTTCGGAGGGACCTGCTACTTCCATTTTCGTGGTAAATCTAAAGGTGGACATCAAGTTTCTCCGAAACGCTGGTACCCAGTTTCTAGACTACACGCGTCACTTTTAAAAAGAAAGTAATCTTAATGTTCAGGCCGTAAGAGCCACAGATCTCATGAAATGTAAACTTCATTGTTACACCTCAGGGGGAGGGGGTGAGAACTTATAATCACTTTCGTCTGTTATTCTCTTTCGCTAACATCTATGTTGCACTCGGCTGCCGTCGGCGGTCTTGGCTAGGGAAGCTCGGGATCGGGCGAGGACAGGATGGTTACTGGCGGGTGACTCAAAACTCCCTGCGAACATTTCTACTATGTACACTTGTCTATTTACAATAATAATTACATGAAGAAAAAGGTTTGCTTTTGATCTGTCTATCATGACTCTTATCCTAAACTAATTCTACCGACCTTGGTTGTGGAGGGGAGGTGCCTTGAAACTGTGCTCCTATCATTGTCTGTCACTCTCCGTTCATTTCTACCCTGTTCTACCCTGGCTCTCACTTGGTACACTGGAGACTGCCTTATAATCACACAATAACACTTTTCTTAACAATAACGTCTAACAGCATGGCGTATATGAGCGAAAAGACTTACTTGCAATACAAATGTAGATTACGGCCGTTGTCCACCCTCTTATGGAATACATGTCGCCGATAGCCTTCGGCTGACAACTCTCTATTATCTTTAAAATCAGAGTTCCAAGTCTCTTGACTTTCCCTCATTTATAGTCTTAATTCGCTGATTCAGCGTGGACGACAAGGGGGTAGATAGCTCCTCCCTTGTGTTCTAATTTCTTAAAGTTAGGCTTTCATTGGGTCTTATCGGGATGTGGGCAGACCCCCCGGGCGTCTGATCGCTGCGTAAGCAATCTATTCCGATCCTCCAGTGCCCGAGTTAGGCAAACTTCTGGCGCTGTGAGGACACAGCCTTGCTGGGCAAGCAGATTCCTGACCTACTTGCCATTACTGATGTTTACAAGTTGCGGCAATAACTGTGCAACACTGTTCGCTAGGCGCGAACATTTTTGGGCCGTGGCTTCGTCTACTATCTCGAATTTTGGGGCATAACATTCATATATATATAGGGACCATTTTACCTGCAGTTCACCATGCAGTGAGATAAACATTTTGGTAACTTCAGTAACAGTTTCTGAATAAAGAAAATGGAGCAGAGTCGTTTCTCAAAATCTGACATTCGCTCAGCTGGTCCAAAACTTCACCTTTTCTTCTTTCCGAATATTAACAAGGGTTAGGTCTTAAGATGTGTTCCTTTAAAGCTAATTTTGGCCTCAATTTTCCATATATTTCTGGGTTCTCCAACATACTGTCGTCCATGGTATTGATACTGAGTTTGTATAAGTGTCTTCCGCCTTCTCTCTCGCATCAAAAGGTACATTACAGTGTTCAGAAGGTCTCTTCTTCTTCAATGGCTCTGCAGCCTTTTGTTGGGTCATGTCCTCTTCCTAAATTTCGTAAACGTTTTTTACAAACGGTAGGACTCCTTGGACGGGTGATCAGCCCGTAGCAATGTCGCTACCTACACAGGACCAAAGAAACACAGAATAAATACACACAGAGACATCCAAGCCTCAAGCGGGATTCGAAACCACGATCCCAGCGTTCGAGCGAGCGAAGACCACGCGGCCCACTGTGATCAGCGTTCAGAAGGTCTCACTGGACTAATCCTGAGTCAGATGATTTCATTCCGCCAATTTTAAATCGCTACTCCACGTCTCTACACCAGAAAGAGGTTCCGCGCAAAATGCAAGAAATCACGGAATGCTGAAAGCGGAGTATCAGCTGAAAAAGGAATTCAGTCCAACTGACAGATTCTGAAGAAGCGACATGTGCAGCAACAAAGTCTAATAACACGACAAGACGTTGCGCCTTCTAGATTTCGTCTGTGAATTAAATCGTTAGATTTTGTCTTTAAATATTCTTCTCGTATTTAAGTTTTCTTTCGCAGTGTTCGTGTTTAAGCGGCAAAACAGAACACCAGCAGTCAACAAACACGATAAGAAGTTTGCATATTCAAAATAATCCCTGCGAATTAAATCGTTGATAAGTGCAACAGGATGCTAAAAAATATATGTGCAGTACTTGTACGAGTATATTACAAAAATTATTAAGAAGAACAGTGGTCAAAATACCTTTGCTAACACGTCTATTTCCCGGTTTGACCGGAACCAAATAATCTCGCTTTCCGTAACAGCTGTAGCCTGCAACGTGTCGGCTCCAGACATTCTCTATGCAATGAAATCATGCAGAGAGAACATCAGTATACATGGAAATCGGGCGACGGCCTTACTTGCTTCCTCGCCTACACAAATCCCTCGGCTTTTATGTTTCCTATTACGGGTAACAAGGGCAGCAGAGGGACAGTGTCCTGCTCCCAGGGGAGCTGCTGGTCATGGGATACGGAGTAATGACTTCGGTGAATCCTTTATAATGCAAAGGGACAAAATATTACAAGATACTACAAGACTCTAGAGAGACAATTGGGATTGCAATCTGAAACAATCTGATAACTTCTCCCTTAATAAAAATTGTTTGTGGAAGTTCATGAAGCATTAAGAAAAGCTTCGAATGAGGTACTATCACGGCATTTGCCTCAGGGACTGAGGAAGACCAAGATAAAACTCAGAATACGCGATGTGTTAGCGAAATTAGGAATGTATACTTCCCCAGTGGGAACCTAAGAACTACGTCTCTAGATCAATGTGTTGGGCAGATTGTTGTACTAAAAGTCCGTGGCCTATAGTCCGCAAGTAAACTATAAAGATCGAGCGACCGCCGCTTGTCGGCGAAGTTAATGCCATATTTTGCGGATAGAAGGTGTCACGTGAGCTGTTCTGCACTATCCGTACAAGTTATGCTCAGTAATGAATCACTACATTACTCAATAAAGTCATAAGCAGAGGCGGTTTAGGAATTTGTGGGGCCTTACGCCAGTGTTCAGTACAGAGCCACAAGGCACCAAAACTACGGTTGCGGGTGTGTGTGTGAGTTGAAGGCTTTATTATTCCTTGGAATCAATACAGAGAAGGGGCGGGAAACACATTGTGTTGTTGTACCTAAAGGCTTTATGGTCCCGCCACAACCTCACGCTAGACAAGTTGCTTGAACGCCTCATGCGAGGCCCTAGGCCCTAGGCCCTGCTTTGCCTATATGTCAATCCCCCTTCACCACAATCACTGCTCACCTAATTACTTACTTACTTACTTATGGAGCTGATCCCTTCTGGAGGAGAAGCCAAATCTGCAGCTACTCAAGAATTTCCCAGCATTTTATGGAACCCGAATGTTCATTACCGTGTTCACAAGAGCCCTCCACTGGTCCCAATCCTGAGTCAGATCCATCAAATCCACACCATCCCATCCTATCTCTCTAAGATCCATTTTAATATTGTCCACCATCCACCTATGCCTTGATCTTCCTAGTGGTCTCTTCCATTCTGACTTTCCCACCTATATCCTACATGCATTTCTCCTCTCCCCATTCGTTCCACATGCCCTGTCTACCTCATCCTCCTTGACTTGATCATTCTAATTTTACTGGCGAAAAGTACAAATTTTGAAGTTCCTCATTATGCAGTTTTCTCCAATCTCCTGTGACTTCATCTCTTGCCTAATTATTTATAATCAATATTTTTATATAATGCAGACGTAAACAAATATTCGCAAACATGAACAACCGCATACTGTGGTGTTGCAGGCATAATGCAGAGTCCGACGAATGTTATACTGATTGCGTGCCTGTGTGTGGTCATCAGCATGGCCATGCCCTGCTGGAGTGACCCTCTACCAGCAAGCGCCGAGATTGCCTCTCGTCCCACCAGACCCAAAGTCTTCACCTCCCCAGATCAGCTCAGAGACTACCTGCAGGAACTCGGCAATTACTACGCCATCGAGGGTCGCCCCAGGTAAGTCACGGTATATCATACAGATCGGACACTCCGGGCACGGTAGGCTACCGTACGGTTTGTGAACTCAGGCCCCCGATACGTGACATCACCTACACATCTGTGTTGCAGGGCTGAAGGCTGTCTTGTAGGCATGCAAGGAACATGTTCATTGTGAGCTAAAAGTAAAGCTGTCCTTGTGCTCGACTAATTAAGCACTACGCCATGAAGGCGTGTGGGGGAGTAGATGTATAGATCCACGTTTTCTTGACCTCGGCACTAACTGGAGGTGAGTGGTCATCTTCATGCCCCTCTCGCTTTATTCTCAAGGAAAGAGCCTCCGGTGCCCATTGGATAGGAGGTTGGGTGGGCCCCAGTTGACTATTTGGAGAAGATAAAATTCTTGACCCTATCGGGACTCGAACTCCGAGCGCTCAGTAGTCCAGCCCGTAGCCAGTCACTATGCCGACTGCGCTATCCCGGCTCTCCCATATTCATTGTACTAAAACATATAACACTTGTAAAGTAATCTTGCTCGCTGTCATTCAGTCCAGAACCTTCGGTCTTCTCGTCTGCTGTCTAAAAATATAAAATTAAGATATACACAACTGTAATTTTGCCTGTGGTTCTGATGGGTGAGAAACGTGGTGTCTGATATTAAGGGAGGAAGATATACAGAGGGTGTTTGAGAACAGGGTGTTGAGAAGAATATTTGAACCGAAGAGAGATGAAGTGATAGGAGGTTGGAGAAAACTGCATAATGAGGAGCTTCATAACTTGTACTCCTCTCCAAGTATAATTAGAATAATCAAGTCAAGGAGGATGAGGTGGACACGTCATATAGCACGAATGAAGGAGACGAGGATTGCGTAAAGGATATTGATGGGAAAGCCAGAAGGAAAGAGACCACAGGGAAGACCAAGGCGTAGGTGGGCGGACAATATTAAAATTAATCTTCGAGATACAGGATGGGATGGTTTGGATTGGATTGATCTGGCTCAGGATAGGAACCTGTGGAGGGCTCTTGTGAACACGGTAATGAACCTTCGGGTTCTATAAAATGCTGGGAAATTTTTGAGTGGCTGCACAACTAGTGACTTCTCAAGAAGGGCTCGGCTCCATGAAGTTAGCTATTTTAAAATTACCTTCATTAATAAAAGAAGGAGGGATAGCTCATTCGGAATAGCGACGGGCTATGGGCTAGACCGCTGGGGTTCGGTTCCCAGCAGGGAAAGGGACTATGAGTACCGACCGCCAAGCAACGACTTTCAGGACAGCCGCAAACTGAACCAAAGAAAAATAAGAAAGAAAGAACAGAACCATAAGCCAAACGCGCATGGCAACAACACGATAACATAGATAATGCAGAAGAGTAAAATGCATTTACAAAAAGAAAAGCAGAGCAACCGATTCCTTCATCACAACAATTTGTACACCTGATAGTGGTCAATTAGACCCAAACATGTAGTGGTATACAATAAAGACATGGTGACTAGAGAATATTAATCGAAGTTGCATGTAGACGGCAAGAAGTTGAACATAAAATAAGGGGAAACAGATTTTTCTCTACTCCACAGCTTCCAGACCGGCTCTGGGGCCAACACAGCCTCCTTTCCAATGGGTACCGGGGGCTCTTTCCATGGGGGTAAAGCGACAGGCTTGTGAAGCTGATCACTCACCTCCAGCCAGTGCCGAGGTTAAGAATGGTGGAGCTGTATCTCCACTCTTCTTCTGGTTCCACGAAAAGTTAGAAAATTCTTGTGCAGTTGAGGAACTGGCGGCTTCACTAGGAGAGCGCTGCTCCATGTAGTTTAATTAGCCTTGTAGTCAAAGGTTCTGAGGTTGAAGTATTCTGGTCCTGTCGTATGTTCTGTACCTAAAATTTGTATAATAGTTGCGCAAAACTGAACAAAATTTCTAAACTAAAGTTTTTATTTTCAGGTTTGGTAAGCGTTTAGCAACACCGGCATTCAGACCTAGTAACAATCCTCTAGGACTTCCGGTACCATCAGGACTGTCATCTGTTGCATCTCGCAGTAACTACCTTCGATACCCAGCGCAGTCTGGCGTCAGAAATGATCTCTATCAGCTGCTTTTCCCTTATGACGAGTAAAATCCCTATGCATCATGGCCTCTCGCAAACATCGCATCGCTTTTCGTATCAGTACTGTTTCGTTTTGTTTCTAACCTCACTTTTCGTATACTGACATGACCTAAAACTTGTGATCCTTGAATATTAATCATTCTTTATTACCCGAGATGCCCTCATATGTATGTTTGGTTTATAATAACAACAATTTAAAAGAATTAAATTGTATTTAAATTCTTAATGTCATATATTTTTATTCAAGAAACTATTCTTACGTCTCAAAAAGTAAACGTTCTAACTATTATAACTATGAACAATGAAACCAAGAGAAACCTGGATAAGGGATTTGAACTAATAGATTTTAATTTTATATTAAACACTATCCAAATCTTGGTCCCCATTTCATAACTGGAAGAAGGATTGTAATTTCACAGTAAATTAACTAGAAATTTTATGAAAGTCACTCCATTTTGGAAAAAAATTATAGTTGTAATTTACCATATGAATAACTGCGTAAGATTTTAATATATATTTTAAATTAATTAAATATTATTAATTGACTGTTCTTTCCTGAAGTACAGTTGTCAAAAACCTAACAATTATATGAACAACAGTGACAGAACAACTAATTTCATATACAGTTAAAACCGTATTTACAAATGGATTGTGTGTATTCAATTTTTGATTTTAAACTTTGCAGAATTAAATAAAATTGAATAAATTAAATAACTTTTAACATATTTCAGTAATTTATTGCGGGACTGACAATTAAATTATTATTCTGGAGACGTTAAAGTACCATAATTTATAACAAGATGCAGACAACTGTGAATGTGTAATAAGTTTTCCAGAATGGAGAGCGAAGCTTTGTAATTTAACCCAATCACCTCCCCAAATTAGGCGTGTGTTAAATCACTGTGTGACTCATTGTCTGGGTAGCAATTCTCTTCTTAGAAACTTTCACAACAATTAGCAAGAGAAAGAGACTCCGAGACCTCAAAGTGACATTTAAACCTACCACTATTTACTTACTTATATCGCAGAGTTAATTCCATTGCGGTTGTGATGTTCAATAGTATTCTGCTGTGAAAACAGAGTTGTATTTTAAAGTGACAAATCAGTAATTAAACAGAGATAATAAAGGTTTTCTTCTTTCCTATGAATTTTCATTGTATTTTATAATATGATAAGAAATCTTGAAGCTACAGGAGCGTGATAATGACAACCCTAATTCTGAAACCTTCCTGGCTTGAACATTTAAATTTACATCTTTCGTTATATTTTAAACATGCAATTAAGAATATCAGTTAGAGGGTGTGGCATATCTCACGCTTTCTGGTAACTTCAAGGTCACTTCGTGTAACTGACGATTTATGCATATCACAATAAAACCTTCTAAAATAATTAGCTGATATTTTTCAAGCTGTGAGCCATTTTGAATGGCACTCAGACACCCGTCTGCACCGTCATATGGAAACCACACACGCCCACACTTCCTCAATTCGTCGTTTCTGAAACTCCCTGACCTGTAGTCCGCAAGCAAACAATTCCGATCGAGCGACCGCCGCTTGTCGGCGAAGTTAGTGCCACCTTTAGAGGATAGATGGTGTCGCCTGGTCAGTGCAACGGATCGCCAGGGCCGTTAATCTCGTTTACACCGCTTTACTCTCGGGAAAGAGCAGCCGGTACCCACTGGACAGGAGATTGTGTGGCTACCGGAGCCCGTTTGGACGCTGTGGAGAAGAGAATAATCTCTCGCTCCTACTAGGAGCATCAGGCTAAGTAACCTCACCCTGGAGAGTATTCGCGCAGCTCAATAGATGCAACCATACTTCGTCTTTAAAGTACAGCTTGATGTGGAATGCACACCTTGTTTTCCACGAAGATCGCAAGAAATAACCGCTCACAATGCAAGGGTTTTGCCTCCTCGCCGCTCCGTAAGTCCACACACTACACGAATATGACTCGGGGTTTATGTCACCAAAAGTCTACCAGATAACACAGATAACACGGCGGCACATATCAGAAGGCACTAATCTTTCAACAGCTATTACACGTATTTACATAACTCCAAAGTGAGGAGCTTCACAACCTGTACTCTACTCCAAGTATAATTAGAATGGTCAAGTCAAGGAGGATGAGATGGGAAGGGCATGTAGCAAGAATGGCGGCGAGAAGTAATGCCTATAGGATATTGGTGGGAAGGAGACCACTGGGAAGACCAAGACGTGAGTGAGCGGACAATATTAAAATTGATCTTAGGGAGGTAGGATGGGACGGTATGGACTGGACCGATCTGGCTCAGGGTAGGGACCAGTGGAAGGCTCTTTTGAACACGATAACGAACCTTCGGGTTCCATAAAATGCTGGGAAAATTCTTGAGTAACTGAAAAATTGGCGGCTTCTCAAGAAGGGCTCAGATCCATGCGTGAATTATTTACATATGTAATAAAGTCTAGTAATAATATTTAAAATCCAAAACAAAATAAATATACAGGACAGGCACATAAACGTGAGAGACTATAGTTCCTCAATTCTTTTACTATTAATATTACTGAGATGTGACTCCGTGTAGTCTGGCAGACAATTACAAATATTTCTGAGAAATCTGCTGATTTCCAACTTCACACTGAAGATGGAGGCAACATATTACCCCTAAACATTAGTTAATATCCTTCAGACTACAAGGCGTAAAACCCCCAAAAATGCAGGTATGTTCACTACAAACATATGATCACATATGTGGATCGGGGCTTACGTTTTGCGCATGCGCATCTGTAATTTCGTGTTCGCACACTGACCTTAATGTTTCTAGCTCTTGCATAGGTCAGTCTGTATATAATAGTCCTATATAGACTCTCAGAAGAAAAAGGCATAAGACTGAAATTTGTTAACATATTTCTTCTTCCTTGTTTAAATTATGTTGTGTTTCGAGGTGAAGACGTGGTAGCGTAGTTTGTGGAGGCATTGTGCTACAAACCGGATTCGATTCCCGATGAGGAATTCTTTTTTATTTATTTGGTTGCTAATTTACAATGTACTTAGTGACAACAGAGCAGTAAGTAAATGTCCGGGCGCCGTAGTAGCTTGTGATTACCATCCACTGATGGGTCTTCACGCGTCGCCTTCTGGCCAGAGGCGTTGGAGTCTTCTGTTCGCCAGGGGTTGAGCGGCGAGTTCATTTATCAGATGGCTGTCGTGGCCAACGATGCGATCTCTATATTTGGTGGCTTTTTTGTTGATGGCTTCCTTTATGAAGGGTATTCCGAGATCTGCGTGAAGGGTTTGATTGGATACGAACCATGGAGCGTTTGTTATTGAGCGTAACATTTTTGACTGGAACGTTTGTAAAACTTTCGTATTGGAGGGTTTACTGCACCCCACAGTTCAATCCCATATGTCCAGATGGGTTTTAATATTGTTTTGTAGATTAGGAGTTTATTTGCCATTGACAGTTGGGAGTTTTTGCCTAGTAGCCAGTTCATATTTCTTGCTTTTGTTGTTAACTGCAGTTTCTTAGCTTGGATGTGAGCTTTCCATGTTCAGTTCAGTTATTCAGTATAGAGGGGGTGGGTTTCCCCATGCACCGCGACTAATAGTCTATTGTACGTCCTCCTTTAATTTCTATTGTCGCCATACCCTACCGATACTGGTGCCCGCTATCTCCCCTTTCTGCAAGCGAGGTCGGCCCTCTACTGGCAGTGGTACCCGATAATTCTCCCCTTTCTGCCATCGAGGTCGGCCCTCTACTGGCATTGGTACCCGATAACTTCCCCATCTACCGGAGGCATTGGAAACTACTTGGTCGGGAAACATTTTGTGCAATTTTGCTCAAGGTCTCCTAGAGACATGAGGATCTTTTACGTGCCGTAAATCTACGACACGGCTTAAAGTCCCTCCCGGAGGACTTTTTCCCTGAATTTTTCCGCCATTAAAAATTCCACGACCTCCGCCGGGTTTGAACACGCGTACCTTGAGTCATGAGGTGGGAACCTTTCCCTAGACTACGGATGCCGCAGCTTTCCATGTGGAGTGGAGTCCGAGGTACTTGACTTCGGATTGTTCTGGAATTGGTGCGTTGTTTATAGCAACTTGTGGGCACGCCCTACGTTTGGTAGTGAATGTTATTTGTGCTGATTTAGTATAATTAACATTTAAGTAGTTCTGTAATGTTTCGGACGCTCTATTAGGGTTTGTATGGGAGGGCAGGATTGCAATGTCATCTGCAAATGGGCTAGGGTTATCTCTTGTGACTGGGGGATATCAGAAGTGAATATCAGGTATAGGAAGGGGCCAAGGAGGCTACCCTGCGGTACCCCAGATTGAATGGGGGTAATATTCAGAGTGTGTATTTTCCATTTTAACTTGAAAGTAGCGATCAGTTAAGTATGATTTAAGTAACAGATATATTTGACTGGGTACGGTAGTTTTTAATTTGTGTAGCAGTCCCTGTGCCATATTTTAACGAAGGATTGTTGAATATCCAAGTACACTGACGCACACATCTTCTTACCCTCCAGGATATCCTTTATTTGATGAACTATTCGGTGGCACCGTTGAATTTTTGAGTGGTTGTGCCTAAATCCGAATTGGTGATGAGGGATGATTTCTTCCATAGCCTTCGTGTTTTGTAATCTGTTTAAGCGCAGTCTCTCGAAAAGTTTGGACATCATGGGTAACAAGCTGATTGGGCGACAGGCTGAAGCTTCTGTTGGTGGTTTACCGGGCTTTGCGATCATGATCTCGTGGGCGATTTTTCATTGTATTGGGTAGTGACAGAGCCTTAACATGCTGTTGTAAGAAGCGCATTGCTTTTTGGGGAGGTGTTTGAGGATATCACCAAGTACTAGGTCGAATCCTGGTGCCTTATGGGAGTTTGTTTTGAGGAGTTCTTGGTAAACTTCTTTTGGTGTAAAGGGTCTTACGGGAGGAGACAACTGTCAAAGGGCGTCGAGGAAGTTGAGGATTTTTGATCGACAGGTGAAGAGATCTTTGCGAGGTAAGCAGCGAATGTATTTACTTTTTCGTGGTCAGTTCGTGCCCAGGTTCTGTCTGATGGTTTTAATTGGTGGGGTTGCTATGGTGGGTCTTTTGAAATTCTTCATAGCATTCCACAGTGAGTGGTCATCTGGAGTTAAATTTGTTAAGTAATCTCGAAAGGTGTCGTCACGGGCTGATTGCATTGTGGCTTGAAGCTGATGAGTTAGTCTATTGAGGGACGCCTTATCTAGCGGGGTTCTTGCACTTTGCCATTTTCTACGCGCTCTTCTTTTTCCCGCTCCAGTTCTCGAATGTGTAGAGTATGTTTTGACTCTTTGGTACCATTTTTCTTGGGGGTGGTGTCGCTTTCCATGCAGCCTCTTGAATTAGTTTGGTTAAATAGTGCACTACTTCTTCCAGCTCTTGGTTTTCCTTTATTCTGTGGTTTAATCTTATGTTGTTGTTTATAATTTCTTGAAAGAGTTGCCAGTTAGTGCTACAGGTGCATAGTTTGGGTCGTGGTTCTTTCCAGATTACGTTCATGCTTCACGTTATTATTAGTGGGCTGTGATCTGAGCTCAGGTCAAAGTTGGACTCCATATGACTGTGTACTTCTGATATTCCTTTGGTTGTGGCGAAGTCGAGTAAGTCGGGGATTTTATTGTTGTCGGAAGGCCAGTAAGTTGGTTCACCAGTGGATAAGAACCTCAGGTTCTTCAGTTGTATAGCTTTAAGTAGGTTGGGTCCTTCAGTTGTTATTAGTCTGGACCCCCAGACAGTCTGCTTAGCATTCCAGTCACCGGCAGCGAGACTCCTTGGTCATAGTGACTGGAAGACGTGTGTATATTCTTGGAACGAGAGAGGATGACTTGGGGGAGGGGGCTGTAGACCGGTGCTATGTTGATGAGTGCTGACACTGTCAGAATAGTGCCTTCAATTTGTTAATTATTTGTGGTTGCTGTACGTGGTGTTTCAGTTTGGATTTGATTATTATGGCTGATCCTGCGTGGGCTGTTCCGTCTGGGTGATTGGGGCAGTATATGTTATAGTTCGGTATTTTAACGACGTTCGGTCCGTGGCATGGCTTTCAGAGATTAGTAGTATGTAGATTGAGTTTATGTTTAGGAACAGTATAATTTCTTGCACATGATTAGCTAGCCCATTGACATCCCAGACTGCAATT